GTCTTTTCCTCAAAGTGCTCCTGTGTTTGAGCAGCATGTCATGAAATGGGTGGGAGACACTGTCCAAGATGACATGTAGCTTGGACAGCATCCTCCTCTCTGACACCACTGACAGAGAGTCCAGCACCACCCCCACAACATCACCGGCCTTGCGAATCAGTTTGTTGAGTCTGTTAGCGTCTGCTGCCCTCATCCTGCTGCCCCATCATGCAACAGCAAACAGGATAGCGCTGGCCACAACAAACTCATAAAACATCCTCAGCATCGTCGTGCAGATATTGAAGGGCCTCAGCCTCCTCAGAAAATAGAGATGGCTTTGGCCGTTCCTGTAAAGGGCTTGAGTGTTATTGGCCCAGTCCATTTTATTGTCCATGTGCACTCCCAGGTATTTGTAATCCTCCACAATGTACACAGGGACCCCCTGGATGGAAACAGGGGTCCCTGGTGCCTTGGCTCTCCTTAGAACCACCAACAGCTCCTTAGTCTTTGTCACATTGAGCGGCAGATTGTTCTGCTCGCACTATGTGACAAAGTCCCCCACCACAGCCCTGTACTCAGCCTCGTCACCCTTGCTGATATATCCAACCACAGCAGAGCCATCAGAAAACGCTGACCACGTTGCTGACCACGTTGCTGACCACGCTGTCTGACACACAGTGGTCTGCCAGTCAGGCAGTCAACAATCCAGGACACGAGGGGGGCATCCACCTGCATCACTGCCAGCTTCCCACCCAGCAGGGCCGGCGGAATGGTGCTGAAAGCACTGGAGAAGTCAAAAAACATGACCCTCAAAGTGCTCGCCGACTTGTCCAGGTGGGCGTAGATGCGGTTGAGCAGGAAGATGATGGCGTCCTCAACTCCCAGTTGGCACTGGTAGGCGAACTGGGAGTATGAGGGGTGTGATTACCAAAGACACCAAAAAATAATTATATTCTTTAAAAAATGTATGTGGTGCTTTCTGGATCTGGCTTTATGAATTTGTGGAGTCTTGTCGGTTAATATTATTTTTATGGTGAGCCTGAAATTGTGAATTGAATTCTAAAATTTTAATTCCATGATAATAAATTTTTTCCCCCCCTGAGGTTTGAAATGGCCACACAGCGTAAGAATAACTGTCAACTTCGGGTTAAAGACCTTGTGAAAATAAAGCCAGGTAAATGAACCTCTGCTGTATTAGCAGTAGGTCAAGGTCAAGTGTCATGTATCAAGAATGGTGTCGCACTGAGAGTTCAACGACATGGGAAAACCAACAGGCTTGGGAAAACTCAAACCAGTGGAATTGTCCAAGAAAAGCAAAAAAGTGGAAGACATATGATGACACATTTCTCTTCAAAATGATGCAGTGATTGTCTGATTAAATTGTTATTACAGTCTTAACTTGATAATGCTACTATATTCAAGTGTCTTAATACATTTTTAGAGTTTGTTTGTACTAAATAATAGTAAAATAAAAGGCTTGGACGCTCTTCAGGTGTCAGCCATTACATCATGCTTTATCAGACCTGGACTGTTTCGCTTGCTTGATCTAAGAATACATCAGTTATTCCACTTTTATGATGAATCACATTTTTGTTTTACAGTCTTGGTGGAGATAAGCGTCTGTCCTCCGTGTCCGTCTCTACCTGCTCCTAACCTCTATTAGCACAAGCGTTATCACAAGCATTTACAACTGCCAGCATACTTACTGAAGCCCGAGGGCTGCTGAGGTCACTACAGGCCATTTCACTTAAAAGGATCATATTCTTGAAGATAATGTTTCCTCATGTATTTGAAGATGAGGTCCATTATGGTTTAGCTCCTGTGAGTATAGACATGCCATGTCTTACATGAATAATAATTGTGCATGTGTCATAATGAGATCACTCTTGAAATAAAAACGAGGCTATCAGACGTATTCTGGAGTATTCTTTGAAGGAATTAGTAAATAGACTGATGAAGTAAGATAAACATTCGGTGACTGGCGCTGCCAGTAGTGTCTGGCTTGTAATCTCTTTATTGCAATCATTCATTTTATGGACTGACCTTGACTCCACTGTTCTGTGGCTCACATCTATCTCTGGAAGCTCCATCCTATGATGGTTTCAGGCATCTTGGCTTGTGTAACAGGTGTCCCACCAAAGTTATAGAGCATAATATGTTATATATTATGTCACCTGTCACTAAACAATTTGGTAAACAACTTTAGTTAGTTGATGGTGCTAAATGTCCAAACCAAAGGGGCTTGTCATTGAAAATGTACTGTTTGTTTATTTGGGACAGTAATAAAGTCATTTGCTTATCAGTCTCAAACCTCTGTGCCAGGTACCAGGAAGATAACAAATTAGGATAAACTCATTTAAATTACAAGTAGAACAATACACTGGAATTCCTTACATTTTCATGACCAACTTTGATTGTTTCAGAATAAAAACATCTTACAGGCATCTATCTATCTATCTATCTATCTATCTATCCTTTGAGCCACAGACTGTTCTACAATCAGCTTATGACCAAAGTAAAGAAGTACATATTGATTTTTTTTAAATCATCCAACAAATAAACACACAGCCCTCCATGTGCTCGCCAGAGGTAGCCTGACTGCCATTAGGTACCGAGATGAGATCCTCAGACCCCTTGTGAGACCATATGCTGGTGCGGTTGGCCCTGGGTTCCTCCTAATGCAAGACAATGCTAGACCTCATATGGCTGGAGTGTGTCAGCAGCTCCTGCAAGAGGAAGGCGTTGATGCTATGGACTGGCCCGCCCGTTCCCCAGACCTGAATCCAATTGAGCACATCTGGGACATCATGTCTCGCTCCATCCACCAACGCCACGTTGCACCAAAGACTGTCCAGGAGTTGTCGGATGCTTTAGTCCAGGTCTGGGAGGAGATCCCTCAGGAGACCATCCGCCACCTCATCAGGAGCATGCCCAGGCGTTGTAGGGAGGTCATACAGGCACGGAGAGGCCACACACACTACTGAGCCTTGTTTTAAGGACATTACATCAAAGTTGGATCGGCCTGTAGTGTAGTTTTCCACTTTCATTTTGAGTGTGACCAAATCCAGACCTCTATGGGTTAATAAATTTGATCATTTTTGTGTGATTTTGTTGTCAGCACATTCAACTATGTAAAGAAAGGAGTATTTAATGAGATTATTTCATTCATTCAGATCTAGGATGTGTTATTTTAGTGTTCCCTTTATTTTGAGCAGTGTATATATATATATTCTATCTATTGTGATTTGATGTTGTCTATTCTTATTTTGTTTATGCACCATAGTCTGTACAAAACCACATTTCGTTCATCTATATACTTGAATGTGGACAATGACAATAAAGTTTGACTTTATTTAACTTTGATTTTGACAACGTGTCCAGCCATTTTGCATGTAGTGACTTTTGCAATGAACTTGTGCCTTGATGTTTTGGGGGGTAAGACTATTCAACAGAAACTGGTATAATACATTGTGCTCAGTATGACATCACCAATTGATAATGTAGGAAACAGCAGACAATTGTACATAATTATTTGCTTCAATGTGTCAAAGCATTTGCAATATGTTCAGAACAATGAGAAATTGCTTTTATGATGTGCACAAGTGACGAGATGATGTGGAGGCTGAACAAGTAGTTTTGAGAATTTAAATTCAGATCTGAGAAATGCACTAAAGCGACTGGGAAAAACTGTAAAACAGGCCAGTTATACAGCAATAAGATAGAAAGACAAGATAGTACAGAATCTATCATTTTCATAATATCTATCCTATATGCTATCAAGTTGTGATCAATGAAGACATCCTCTACAATTATTGATGCAAGAAACAAATTATTACAGTATTTTACAGTATTGCAGCATATAGGTTTTGTATAATCAAATGTTACAAATACTCTAACAATAATTATAGATGTAATAGTGTAGTATATTTTACAGGATTGTATTGTACATACTGTAATCATTGGTCCTTTGTGGGTCTGTGTGAACATAGTTATAGTAAAATATATATTAACAATAGAGAAGAAAATCTTATTCAAAGTAATGCATGTACTTTGTTTGAACATAATGCATTACAATGGGAAACATGTCTTTGCAGATGTTGATCATTCAATGTCAGATGTACTAGTTGTGAAAAAAAGGTATTTTTTAATTTTTAATGATCTGATGTGTTTGTAATAAGAGTGGTGAAATATTACCACATACTTGAATATGAATAGTGATCAGTACCATAGCGACAGAAAAAAACTCTAACTGAACTGACAACCTTCACAGTGGTATCAATCCATTTATTTATCAATTAGCCACTTCAGTTTTTGTTTTTGTTTCGTAATTGTGCTTACATACTTTTAATTGTGTGGTCTGTTGGTCCACCGCTTTGGTCCAGACCGAAATATCTCAACAACTATGAGATGGATTGCCGTTACATTTTGGACACACACCCATATCGTCCTGAGGATCAACTGGCTGAATTAATGAAATGTCACAAATATAAAAGATTGGTTGCTGGTTGATTTTAATTGGTTTAATTAATATCAAGGCAAACTCATAAAGAGGCTGGATTGGGAAATTTTACACCACCAATTGCCACCAATAAGGTTTTTTAAAATTCCAGACCGGTACTCCAACTACAATGAGATAAATAGAAAAAACAAAAACAAAAACAAAACTTGCTACAGCTCATGAGGAATTAACTTACAGGTCAAAGCCCCCTCTCTTCTTTGGCTTGTTTCCAGCTCTCCAAGTGTGAGCTGGCAGTGTGTAGGGACACAATGTGGGGCTAATTACTTGTGCAGTCCTTGGTAGCTTGGTACTGCCTGGGTTAATGACTCCGAGATAAGGCCCAACCCTCTTGATATTCACTCCACCAGCTCCTTTTCATTGAGAAAAGCTTATCGGTTTCCCAGGGTTATTCCATCAGTCACCTGGCAGAGCACATAGTTGTTTTTCACAGAAAGTGTGTATTGACAAGTCAAGGTCCACTTCGCGGGGTGGGTTGGCCTTATAAATACAGGGGCACTGCAGGAGGCAGCAGCAGTAGTCATAAGCTCATGAAGATCCCATCCTGTGTGAAGTTGCTTACATTTAACTATATATATCTCTACAAACTAAAAAATAATGGATAACAGGTGTCATTGTTCAGCCAACAGTGACAGGCTTTCAAATCCTATCCTCTACAACATCCTGAGCCAAATGGATAACAGCAAACCAAGCCACAACAGCTTCAACTACAATTCAGTACCTCATAGATGCAACTGTGACCTGCGACGAACAGTGTGCTTGAAAAGACCATCAGAGATTTGCAAAGAAGCCTCAGCAGTTCTGGTTAAAACCATCCATTTCATGAAGAACTTGCCTGCTTTTAATCAGCTGCCACTGAGTGACCAGTTGTCACTTCTCAAAAGCTGCTGGGCACCACTCTTCATTTTGGGTCTGGCCCAAGAGCACGTGGTCTTTGAGGTGACGGACACCCCTGCTGACAGCATGCTGAAAAAGATTCTCCTAAACCATCAGGAGAGCCCAGAGATGGAGAGGGAGCAGCCCACTATGGCCGGTGTCAGCAAACTCAAGTCCTGCCTCAGAAAGTTTTGGAATTTGGATTTGAGTCCAAAGGAGTATGCATACCTCAAAGGGACCACAATATTTAACCCAGGTGTGTATTAATCTTATCCTGTCCATAATAAAATAAATAAATACTTCCAAATTGATTTCTTGGTTCTCACAGGTACATTTTCCAGTCACTGCTGAAAGACCACTGCAAAAACTGTATGTATGTAACCCTAATTTCTTGTCCTTACATTCAACAGACGTCCCAGACTTAAAGGCAGTTCTGTTTGTGGAAGGCTTGCAACAGGAAGCCCAGCACGCCCTCAGCGAGGTGGTCAAGCTCCTTCACCCAGGGGAGCAGGAGGAGCGCTTTGCTCGAATCCTTCTCACTGCCTCAATGCTGCAGAGCATCACACCCAGCCTCATCTCTGAACTCTTCTTCCGGCCAGTGATAGGCCAGGCTGATCTGCTGGAGCTGCTGGTGGACATGCTCTTCTGCAGATAGACAGAAGAGGGAATGTGGACTTCAAGTAACTGTCCTGGAGAAAGTTGAATCCTGTCTTTACGAGTTGTGATGGAGAACTTTTTGTTGAACAACCGAAGCAATGTTTCCTCCTGAGATTAAGAAATGCCTGACAGTGGACTCACAATAGTGAACAAACACTATGTGAATGGTAAACATACAACTATGAATGACTTATATTTGAAGTGAAAAGATTTGACTTTCCACACAAAGACAGACCGTGCTCACTGTTAATATTCTGTATGTCATGTTGAGGATCTTCTCTGTTCGTTTTAGTATTGTAAATAAGTAACATTACAACATTACAAATAAATATATTTTTGTACACGAACGTAATACTGAAGTTCTGCCCCAATCTTTTAGAAAGACAGCAAGCCAAATCTGACATAGTATTTGTTTCACATACCAGGTATTGCACCTGATAATGACACCCTGTTCTGAACATCTTCACCCTTACAGTTCATTTGGCAGGTCTGTTGTTACATGTGTGCAGCCAAGTATTGCTCTATTTATTTAATATTCTTGTCAAGACGCCAGGGTTGCCAAACATTGCAAATGTATCAGAGTGAATTCACTGAAAGTATGTATGGACACATTCCTAAAAAAACATGGTTATTTTGGGTTTGAAAAGTTCTTTCAACAATATGTTGTATAGTTAACCCTAACCCCTAACCCTAACCACTGGAAAGAGCTGATACATAAGCAAAGCATATATTGTAATACAGGTTTTTCTCTGACTTTGAGGCAAACACTGGGTTTCAGCCCAGTAAGGGCCAGCCTGTTGTATTTAGTATTGCACAAAACTCATTGAGAAACCACATCTGACTCATGCATGCTGTGTTCTGCTGCTTGTTTTACCAGTTTAAACCAAACTGTATATCAGTGGTAAGAATTTCTTAATCATGTCAATGCTATAACACTGCCCACCAAGGGAGAGATTGATTGAGAGATCTATTATATTCTATCACAAATGTTGAAGCATTACAGTATGCAATGTTTTTAGGGGGGGGGGGGGGGGGGGGGGGGTACTTTGTCTCCCTCTCATGGAAAATAGCAGAAGTTACATGTTTATTCTTAGTCGTGCCATTTTTGTAACACATACAAACATTTAACAAAATAAAATCTCTACACCCCACAAAGCAATGAGCAAACACAAAAATCTTACTGTTAAAAATCTTGAGGCTATATTTAATATAGTCAAGCTCTCTTGATACACCCTAGCCTGTGGTATGTTAGTTGTGAAATAGAGAGCCTTTACATGACACCTCATACAGGTAAGACAGGAATGTGCTGGAGGAGAGAGCCAGAGGAAATAGGGTTACACAGGACAACTGCAACACACCACGAACAGAAAAGCAACTGGAAAAGCTCAACATTTGGTACAGGCAAATTCAGAAACATTGCTCGTTTGTAGTTTATGGGGTTTGTTGAGTAGATTTTATTTTTCTACAAATACAAGAAAAACCTTTTCACCTACTTTCAGTACGAATGGCTTTTGTTTAAAGAAGAATTTTAAATCACTCTTCATGCTAGTGCAGCTATTTGCCTTATTTCACGCAACTGGCAATACATTCCTTAAGTCTTAAAGCCTGAAAATGAGACATCTTATATATATATATATATATACATATACATACACATACATACACACACACACACACACACACACACACATATACACACAGTGTTGTCTTAACAGCAGACTACTTTAAGACTAACAGTCTTAGGCTACAAATCAGGCTGTTTTTCTGCTATGTGTTTTCCCCTCGCAATAAATGCTAACGACAAACCCTAGGATTTTGTTTCCTTTTTATCAGAACCAGCTAAACAAGTTCCTTCTCCTGCTGAGGGCGGAAAACCCTGCTTGGTATAACACAGTGACCTCGGGGAGATAAGCCTGACAACAATAATCCAAGAGATAGAGTAAAAGTAGTCAGACAGAAAAACCATGTGAAGGAAAGGCTGCTCATTGTCAAACTATGTGAATACATTATTTTGGCGTGTGAGGAGAGAGAACCAAAAGGCAGACAAAAAGCTCTGCAAGCACAGTGTTTACAGTGTGTCACATTTTCTGGAAGCTATAACTGGAATATGACTTAAAACATCATTACAATACATATAAAGATATTCCCTGAGTACACATTAAAAGGCATAAACAAGTATGGAGATTTTTATTTTGTTAAAAAAAACACAACATATCTGTGAATTAAAAAAAAACTGTGGCCAAAAGCCACCAATGGTTTTAACAACCTAGAAAGTAACATCGACTTAAAAACATATATATCAAAATATGGCTTAACAATGCAGTTCTCAGGTCAAAACATGCTTTTAAAGGAGTCTAAATGGCAGGAGTCAATAAGCCCATACATACAATACAGTGCATGCACAATGGCCTGCATAAACAATCACACAGATCACAGGATCAGTATCTATCCTCTGGCCTGACTGCTAAGATTGCATGGAGTGTCGTTTCTTTTTCTGAAAAGAACCTTAAACACTGCTTACACATACATAAAAACTTGCAGTGTCTTTCCCTGTGCGAAGTAAACAACAACACTGTTTCCTCCGTGGGTCATTTGCTGCAAAGATAAAAGGTCCATTTAAATGACAGTCCAATAACAAACATTAGCCGGACCACCGCCCAGGGTTACAAAAGGTGCATCAGTCAGTAACAGCAACAACAACAAAAACAATTGATAGCGGAAGGATGACATTATCCATCTCATTGGCTAAATCCCTTGTCAACATAGGTACTTTAGTTTTTGTATTGCCCTTCAGAGAATCAGAGGAGTGCCTGAAGAGTCTCTTTCGGTGTCATGATGGTGGGGCGAGTATCCTGTGGAGGGGCTGGAGTAGTACGCTGTGAGAGAAAGAGCTTCATTTAATACACTGAAAACAAAAAAAAAACAAAACACAGCAGTAACAGTAGATGTTCTTACTCATGCCAAAAATGTGAGCGATAAAACAGCTGAGTTTAACCGGGGACACGGACACATTCCCAGGCCATGATGCGAAAGCTGTGGAAACGCAATGCGTACCCTCATTTAAAGACACGTAACAGGACATCCCGTCCCTTTAACAGCCTCTTTGCAGAACAGCAACACAAAAAAAGAAAGGCTACTGCATGGTAATCCATCTGTAACCCAAGTTGTTCGCTAAAAATCACATGGAAAAACCACAGGACATTATGTAGCATATATTTAACGTGACCTGATCTGCTGCTCTGGCAGGTGGTGTAGTATGACAGCTGAGCTCGAGGGGAGAAAATGGCAGACTGATAGGTGGGTGTAAGGTGGCAGATGAGGGGAGGAGGCAGCTAATGACCAGGGGGATTGTAATATGCAGAGAAAAGAGCGGGAATGCAGGACTTTCACTGTTTATAGACTGGTATGTCGATGGAAAGTAGAAAGGAGGTGAGAAAATGCCTGAAGCTGCACCAGGTACAAAAGATTGCGAAGACTGAGCCTCACACACTGATTCACCGGGTTAGTAATTATACCTTAATGACCGGGACAAATAAAGACAGTAGCTCTATCAGCACAATGACAATTCATATTAAAATGTGTAGTATCGCTAATCGCTAATCAAAAATTCGTACAGTCTGGTGCAACTCTTAAGTCCTAATACGTACATTTACGTCCACATCAATGTGTCTGTGTGCCGGTTATGGAAAATTCCCACATGTACTCACTTCTCCCACTGTAATGTCTCATTTTCCTCGCCAGCTCATCTGATGGCGTCTGCTCTGACACTTTCACCTCTGGAACTGTAGCAGGAAAGACAAAATGAGCGCAAGCAGACAGGGAGCCTCGACAGACATCAATGCACTCTCATTTTAGAATGAATCCGGTCATCTCTGCTATTGTGCAATATGTTTTAGGAGACATTGTGTACCTGTATCAACTTGCCTCCGATTAACCCAGTTATTGTTAGGTCATTGCCTGCAAAATGCCTGGTGTATCAGGGCTTAATACTACGAGCCAAACAAAAGAGCTTCAGCAGCGTTCCAACAGACGCTATGAGTCATTTAGGGAAGACATATCAGATGATTGGTATAATGCGGCCAAATGGTGGGGAAAAGAGTTGTCACGTGGTATCTTATCAATATTTACACAACATTAATTATAAACTTTTCATTTAAAAAATATTTACATGATTTGCTTACAGTCACTGCTCATGAAAGTGTTGGTCATGGTCTCGTTGCCGCTGTCAGGGAGAGTCCCGTCGCTCCTCCCATTAGGACGCTGTCCCAGCGACTGATGGCTCTTGTTCCTCTTGCCCTTTCGCGTGCTGATGCGGATGACTCCGTGCACCAGCTTGCACTCGGCCTCCTGCTCCTCCAGGTTGTAGTCCTGAGCAATGCTGTAGATGAGCTCGCTGATCTCGTTGGTCTTGCGGGAGAAAGAAGAGTCAGAGGTGCACTTGGCCAGCTGGTCGATCTGGTGCAGGGCGTACAGCTCCAGCAGCTTCTTGGTGATAAGAGAGTCAATGTCTGTGCCTGTGTCGCTCAGGTCATCTAAGTCATAGTCTTCGCGGGACAACAGGCTGGTGTTGCTGATAGGCCGCTGGCTTTCCCCTTTGCCAGGCATACGGGTCCGTTTGGGGGCCGGAGCAGGATACCTTACTGTCTGCCCTGCGATGCGTACATCCGGGTAGCGGAAGCTGTCACTCGTGGGCAACTTAGAGACTTTGGGAGACTTCCTGGACTCCAAAGGGATTCCACAGGTGGGGTTGGTCACACTAATGCCATTAGGAGGGTGAGGCTCAATACCTGCTTTAGGGGGATGGTCCGTGGAGCTCTCGTTAGCAGGCAGGCAGGGCTCTCGGCTGCCATAAAATCCACAGGTCAGTACACAGCAGATAAAAGCCTTACAGCCACTCCAACCCATGGAGGCACAGGAGCCACAGTCATGTCTGCCAGTAGGCGTGCTGTCTGCCGACCCAGGAATAAATCCTATAGTCTCAGAGCCCCGTCCCGTGCCATTTCGTGGGTGGCCTCTGCTGCGGCCATACTTGTTTTCTGAATACCGGAGTTGGCCGGTGTGGTGCTCGTGTAGATGCTCCCCATGAGGATCCTTGTAGGAGTCTTGGCTGGCTGTGCTCTCCCTGGATATAGTCCGAGTCTGTCTGTACTTTTCTGCTCCGGTGCTGTGGTGCTTGTGGTGGTGGGACGCCTGGGGAGCCCCTGTGTTGTGGCCAGGCATGGCTCAAAATGCTGGGGACCTGATGCGGGAGATAATAACCAGGTGTTAAGCCTCCTCTTCTGTTACCGCACAGGCTTGCAGCATTAAACGCACCATAGCACATTATAACCTGCATAACCTACATTAAGACTTATGTACACACTTATACATGTAAACAGTTTCGAGTGAGGTGACATCCCACTGAATTTCTGAGAATGTAAATAAAACTGTGTGCATTGATTGCTGGCCAGATAATAATTAGGTACATTTCGTCGAGCCCTTACAGCTTGTTTGGCCTACAGTCAATGTGCAGGAAAACAGTTCAGACCAAAACTCATTCAACATTTAACCGTTTTTAATGTTACTAACTAAACTTTCACTTACCGCATAAGAGGATACACTTCTTGTTGTCTTTTATCCCAGATACCTTGTTCAACGAGCAAACCGCGGAAGTGTCAGAGAGAAAACTTCTGCTAGTGGCTCAAACAGAGAAAGAAAGACTTCGATATCGACCGCCCACAGATTTCCAGGTGACTGTATTTCCACGAAACAAGGGTTGCAAACCTTAACTCGGGTGCCTCGACCGAACAACACAACTCAGTTCATTCGTGTCGTCTCCTTTTTGTTAAAAATCAGTCTTGTGTAGCCAAGCGTCTTCCAATGTTTGGCTATTACCTGCGGCTACAGCTAATCCCAGGTCCTTCACCCACCCACAGGTGAGCCGTGACATCACGCGAGGCGGATGTAAAAGCACAGAAGTAAAGAGGGATAAAGACAATAAAAGAGAACAAAAAGAGGACCGGGGAATAAAACAAAGAAATAAATGTAATAGACGAAGAAAAAAGAGAGTATAGGGCTGGAAATCTTATCAAAAAGCCTTTGATCGTTTCATAGTCAGATTTTGACCATGTGATGCAACATAACAAACGGTGTTCACCACTGCACTTTACATTGCTACAAGTTGACTTTTTCATTATCCACAAACACACACATACAGGGTAGGTCTGAGCAGCTGCAGAGCCAGCAGGTGTTTTCCAAACAATATCTTTCATTCTGCCCTATTTTTCCCTCTATGGAAGCACTTAATCACCCACTCTTTGAATTGGAATAGTAGGGCTTCCTCCCCTGAAGAAAAATAGGAGTCTGTGTAGCATGTTGTCTTGTGGTTTTACTGCAGTCCCAATAAAACAGGAGCAAAATGAAATACATTAAAACTTTGTTTTATTTTTAATACATGTAAATACGTTTCATATACAGTTATCCATTCCTTTGGATGTTATAATACCGACATATTATGAATTCCTGTACAATAATGACACACGGTTAAGTGAATTTAAGGATTGTTTTTTATTTTACGCAATACACATACGCAATCTTATAAAGTCCTATTATAAAATCTACTGGGTGTCTATGGATTACAGTTTTTTAGGTCAACATAAATTTTCTATGCTATTGAGCTACCACCTATGTTCTTCTGCAGTATGTTAAGATATTTAAAGTCACGATACTAATACTAAAAAGCAAAGAAACACTGTTGACAAAAAATGACATGGGGGTATGTATGATAAACATCTTAGCAAGGTCAATTTACAGAGATATGTGCCAGTGCTTCAAAGACACAAAGGCACTTTTAATGTGAGGTTTATAAGTTATATCTGCTGTATGTACATGAAGCTCAAAAACATTTAATGTGTTGTAAATCTACCAGGATAAACTGCTAACATTTACATCTTTCTCATACTTCGTCAAATTATTTTAGCTTCTTTAAAACATCAAAGGTTCCCAGGTGGAGAGGTTGTCACCTGTTTTACCTCTGTGTCTGTAGGAACCTCCAGAATACAGGTTTTATTTGGCAGCTGCTGTGGTCGAGCTAATCCTAAATGCCTTTGTGCCCTGCATCCAACGTTATCTGCTGAGATGTGCCCCAGCCGAGGGTCTGAGTCAATCTCATATCGGTAGTGATATCCCTCAAGCACGTCCCTACATGCATCTCTCATTTCGAATATCCACTTCTTCATACCATTGCGATTCAGATAGAGCACAAAGAGAAACACCATACCCACAAACCCCAGCACCAGGCCCAGGAAGACATAGGACGTATGCAGGGTGAGGTCAGCCGCCTCTGCTTGGACTGAAACGACACATCCAATGGCCTGGAAACTGAGCCCTCGCAGCAGAGTGTCATTCAACCCCCCTGGTGAGGCACACCTTACAGCATCCACATCTACCTGAGCTCTTGATTCATTCAGCCAGGCCACAAAAGTATGGATCTGACAGGAGCAGGTGTAGGGGTTGTTACCAAGGAGGATTCGGATGTTCCCGAGCTTCTCCAGCTCTTGCAGAGCATCAGCCCCGAATGTCCCAAAGGCATTGCGAGTAAGGTCCAGTACCTCCAGATGGTGCATGCCAGAGAAGGTTCCACTGTAGACAGCCACCAGAGAGTTGTTAGTGAGGAAGAGCTGCTGCAGGTTGGGAAGGTGGGAGAACATCCCTGGGGGCAGCAGGGTGAGGTGGTTCCCAGAAAGGTCGAGGCGGAGAAGCCCCACGAGGCCACCCCAGCGCAAAGCCGTGGTGAGGTCTGTCAGAGCGCTGAAGTTGTACAGCGAGCGGCTCAGGTTGAGTTCCTGAAGGGGACTGCCCGGTACACTGAGAGCTTCTGGATGGATGAGCGCCAGCTGGTTCCCACTGAGGTCCAGGAAACGCAGGTTGATGAGGGCAAAGAAGCTGTGGGATGCCATTTCTGTAATCCTGTGAAGATGACTAACACTGTAACTGTATGTCCTTGGACATTTAATGTTATTTTCATGCTTGGATACAACTCATGCATCTCACTGAACTGTCAAAGTAAGCAAATAAAACCCACATTTGGTTATTTATTTATTTATTTGATACACATGAAGAAAGTTAGTGATATTATCCAAATATGGCTTAATATACATGAATGAAACCAAAACCAAAAACACTGACGCTCTCACCGATTATTGCTTAAAATGATGTTTGTGACGTTCTCCAGCTCTGTAAATGATTCAGGTCCAATCTGGTGTATATTATTCCCTATGACGATGACAGTCCTCGCATATCCTGGAATACTTTGTGGCACCGTGAGCAGGTCACTGGAAACACATTTCACTGTGCGAGTGACAGCCAAACACTCACAGCCAAAAGCACACTCCAAGCACTGGTATGGTGCACAAAGAAGGATTCCCAAAAACACTCGGAGTGCAAAAACACACATGTCTTAAGTAATTGCCGGGTAAAAAGAAAGATTCCAAAAACAATGTTAACACACTAGAGTGTGAACTACAGCAGAAACAAAACTTCAAATTCTAAATACAGCTTTTGTTGTCACAACCTAATCAAATGCTGCAGAGGCGGCAAAGAGCTCTCCAGCATCAGCCCCTCCGAATCTGCTCCACTCTGGGAATAAAGGATCCTGTAGAATTGATGGGAGTTCATATCAGGCAGAATCTGCTAGATGAAAAAGGTACGTGGTTCCCTTAAAGGTACAGAGGATGATTAAGGAGCCCACAGCCTGTGACCCACACCACAGTCTGCCAGGGAGACTTAAAAAGGCTTTGTATACAGCACATCCAAAATAAAGTTACAGAAACAGTCATATTAAACTGATAGAGATATACAATAATAAATAATACTCTTTTGGGTACACAACATCAAAAACAATTCAATTAAATAAACATAATGCAGTATTGCTCATAGTTTGAATAATTCGACAGTTATAGTAACATTCCAGCAGAACACATTCAAATTATGTCTGAAGAACAAACACTTCACACATCAGTGTTGATACACCAGAGGAAAGACGACTGAAGAGGAGGAGGGTATTTTTATAGCACAATACCACTATTTTTCACATGTGGGTCCTACATCATTCTATCTTTGGTAGCAGCTCATATCTCAGACAAATAATTGATGACTACTTTCTGCATTAAGATTTTGTGATCCATTTTGTAGTGATTCATCACTGAAATGTACATTAGCCGGTCTGGAAACACATTCATCACCACCAGTCTAATACAATGCATCTCTGGACTCCACCTTATTGCTCTAACGTGGTGTAATCTGGAAAAGATCGTCTTACTTCATAACTCTCTTAATAAGCAAAACGCAAACATAGAACCCACTGTGTGAAAAACAGCACATTTTGAATAGATGTTTTGTAGATACTGTAGCTTCTTTGCCTCACTAAATCATACATTGCACAGAAATAAAACTGTTAAAACATAAAAGAATTATTAAAAGAAAGGACTCTGGGCTTTGCCCTTCAATACTCTCCTAGAGACTAGATCACTACAGATCCCTAACAGACAACGAAGTCCTTCATTTGGATTTTTTTTTTGTACAGACAAATGTCCTGTCAAAAGAAACATCACTCACATCAACAGCCTATGACAAATGTATAAAGCAGAACTAAAGTCTATGAAGTGACCCATGTTGAAATGATCACTCCACTACTGTAGGTTGAACGTTAAGATGAATGTGGCGAGAACTCCGCAGAGCATGAAGAAGGGAAGCCAGGTCTTGAGGAACGCTGCCCAGCTGTAAGATACAGAGAGGGTAATGTGTGTTAGCGTAATCATCAACACCTGGATACCACGAGTGTGTGTACATGTGTGAGGGTATATTTGGACATGTTGAAGTATTGCATGGTACAACCTCTTTACTCCCAGGGGCCTGTGCACCTCCCCGCCCACCCTCCAGCCTGCGCCCCACTGTCCTTTCCACCCAGCCGGTGCAGGGCGCCATCGGAGAGGTGACCTTCAGTGGTGACAGAGGGGGGAGCGCTACTGTCAGTGATGAATTACATGAGTCCTCTGTTTAAAAGACTCCTGTGCCGTGGGACTGTATGTGCAGAGGCAGCACTTACTGCAACTCCAGCGTTCTCAATGTGGGTCAGCAGAAAATAATGAGGGTGGGATCTCTGGGCCATATGTCTGTTAATGCTCACAAGCGTCCAGAAGCAGACTGCTGTTTGTGATGAAGACGAGTCAGGTGTGGCCCAGTAGTCTTAATGGCAACCATATTTTCCTTCTACCACATTTTCTGTCTTCTCTGTGTATACGACACCTCTGCTCTGGAAGAGGAAAATGTATGTAAATGTAAAAATACCAAAATGTCAACCTTCTGAAAAAGGTTCATTTATGCACTCAGTACTTGGTCAGGTCTCACGAATTGCTGCATCAATGCTGTGTGGCATGGAGGCAGTCAGCATGTGGCACTGCTGAGGTGTTATGAAGGCCCAGGTTGCTTTGATAGCGGTCTTCAGCTTGTCAGCATTGTTGGGTCTGCAGTCTCTCATTTTCCTCTTGATGAGGTCAGGTCAAGCGAGTTGGCTGGCCAACCAAGCACAGTAATTCCATGGTGGGCAAACCAGTTACTAGTTGTTTTGGCACTGAGGGCAGGCATGAAGTCCTGCTGGAAAAGGAAATCAGCATCTTCATAAAGCTCGTCAGCAGATGGAAGCATGAAGTGCTCAAAAATCTCTTGATAGACCACTGCACCGACTCTGGAATTGAGAAAACACTGACTGTAGAAACTTCACACTGGACTTTAAGCAACTTCGATTCTGTGCCTCTCCGATCGTCCTCCAAACTCTGGGACCTTGATTTTCAATTAAATGCAAAATGTACTGTATCTGAAAAGAGGACTTTGGACCACTGAGCGCAGTCCAGTACTTTCTTTCCTGAGCCAAGTGAGACGCTTCTGATGCCGTCTCTGGTTCAGGAGTAGCTTAACACTAGCTCATTTCCTGGACACGTCTGTGCGTGGTGATTCTTGATGCTCTGACTCCAGCCTCACTCCACTCCTTGTGAAGCTCCCCCAACTTCTTGAATCAGCTTTGCTTGACAATCCTCTCAAGGCTGCGGTCATCCCTGTTGCTTGTGCACCTTTTCCTACCACACTTTAATCTTCCAGTCAATTTTCCATGAATATGCTTTGATCCAGCATACAGCACTCTGTGAACAGCCCCTTCAGCAGTAACCTTCTGTGCCTTACCCTCCTTGTGGAGGGAGTCAGTGAGTGTCCTCTGGACAACTGTCAAGTCAGGAGTCTTCCCCATGATTGTGGTTCCGTGTACTGAATCAGACTGAGAGACTGAAGGCTCTTCTCAGGTCGACATTTCTGTATTATACAGTCTTTATTCTAATATTTTGAGATATGGATTTCCAAGAGCTGTAAGCTTTAATCATGAAAATGAAAACAAATAAAGGCCTGAAATATTTCACTTTATATGTAATGAATCTAGAATATATGAGTTTCACTTTTTGATAAAATTAGAGAAATAAATAAACTTTTCTACAATATTCTATTTTTATGTGATGCACCTGTATATTTATAAAATCGCCTTGATTTGACTAACCATCTGTGTAACAGACAAAAAACAGAAAGACAGTTTTATATAGACGGGGATTCTTGCTTACAAACCAAAGTGCTTGATGCACTGCCATGAGGTTTTGATGGTATGTGCCCGTGGACAGCTGTAACATGGATACACCATTATGGTTGGTGGTTTATTCCCAGTGGTACAAACCCATTTAACCCATGATAGGAAATGTAGATCCCAGTACCATGCTTGAGAGACAGATTAAATTAAAACTCTATCTCTAGCTAAATGTATCCAAAACCTATGAACAAGATCAGGCAGGACTCTTTAGGTTCTGTATGTGAACTGTTCTTAATAGTAACATCAATGCCAGAATGAGGCTTAAATACTCACCTCACATGTTTCCCATGAATTAAAGACCGCACACATAGGTTCACCATGTTCCAAGACGAGCTGTTGTCGTAGCGCATTAGGTTGAGGGCCATGGCCACGTGGGAATGGCAGTTATCTAAGCACAGGTTGTGCTTCAAATCAGAAAAGGGTATTTATTATTATATGAATAATGATGTGGATGTGTGTGTATTAAAAATTCTAAATACTGTCTTACTGGCCTGCACTTGTATTCCTCAGACGCATCATGCACTGCTTTGTCCCATGTAGCAGCACCATTGCCACACACTTTGTCCACATCAAGCTTCCAATACCTGCGATATTAGTTAACAATCAATCTATGGATAAATTGTTCACCTAAATGTTGAAATACTACTTACAAAACTGTGATTACTAAACTTACTTTGTTGGTCTACCAAAGCCCATGTTGTCCTCCTGGTGGGGGATTTAATGAATCACACCAGTGAACTTAAGCTTGAAGTTATAGATCACTCAAAATATAGCAGATGCCACACATCATTAGACATTCACCAGCTTTCCTCTACACGTCAGCATGACATCTCAGATTCAAGGTTTGCATTTTCATTTCTATCTCACTGGACTCTGCTGGGCCATTACACTGAAGTGAGCTGTTGCATGAGGTTAAACTACCTATCGCGGCTGAAAAATAAAAGAATTTTAAGGCGATACTCACAGAGACAAAGTATGATCCTGCAAAATCTCGTATGACTCCAGAAGAGGTGCATATACCCATGTGACCAATGAAGGGGAGCACCCACCTGCAGCATGCACCCACAAAACAATACATCGACACACGAGTCAATCCATGTACTTTGGTTGTGTAACCGAATACATGCAGTACATTTAGTGCAGCCACTTATTTACAGGACAAATATCGCATGGGGATTTAACCAGTGGCTAACATAAATCTGCAAAAGCGGCAAGTGGTCACGCTAATGCTAGCAAGAGCAAGGAAAACATGTTCGCCTCTTACGATAAAATAGGAATAGGCGTCCAGACAATGCAGTAAGGGTAGCGGCTGGTTTTTCTGTCGCTTTTTAAGAAATCGCCGTGGTAGTTCATCATCACGTCGGTGTCGTCCACCTCCGCCATCACTGCCTGGAGTCTCCTTGAGTGACAGGGGATGACGCACAGCCAGCTAGAGGCGGCGTCGAAGCGGAAGCGCGCAGCTATCGGGTCAGTGAACGCAACACCGTGTGTCCACTGTGCAGTGTGTTAATTAGATTTAATAAGTAGTGCAGGGTTCCAGTCATCAAAGTTTCTACCAAAACAACAATATTCTTTTTTTGTCATTTTTACTTATTTTAAGCCTTTTTTTTCTTTGTTAGTATATTCCATATAAACTGACAGACAAAACCAATCGGTTATTCGACCAGTGGTGGACGAAGTAGCCTAAGGCAAAAGTAGACAAAAGTACAGAGACCCTTGCTAAATATTACTTCACTAAAAGGAGAAGTCTTCAATTTAAATTTCTACTTGAGTCAAAGTACAAAAGGACCACCTTTTGCCAGTTAAATTTCAACTTGCAACTAATCGTTTTGGCTGTACTTGTATAAACTGTTGGGTCGTTTCATTTATAACAAAACATCATATTTTATAAAGTCTTCATATATATGCGTAAAAAGCTTCATTTGTAAATTATCTGCTAAAGCTGTCAGATAAATGTAGTGAAGTAAAAAGTACAATATCTCTGAGATGGAGGGGAGTAGAAGTAGAAAGTGGCATGAAAAGAAAATACTCAAGCAAAGTACAAATATATCTAATTTGTACTAATTTGTTAAGTAAAGTACTTGAGTACATTTAGTCAAGTACTTTACTTAAGTTACTGTCCACCACTGGTTATTAATCCAAGGAATGGATGTAGTTTGTGTTATTTTACAGTATAAATGGCAAATGTACAATGTTGAATGTGCACACGTTTAAATCAACATTATTTTGACAGACATCTAATATTTGCATAGTTACTTAGTCAGCCTTGGCACGCACAGGCTGAAGGCTGTTGTTTCAGCCCTTTTTGGCACCCAACACACAAGATCAGTCAGCCGGGAGCTTTATCACTCCAACCTCCACTACCCCTAAAGCTGCCACCTCATTACTGTTCAGTAAATGGGGCGTGAGATGCTCCCCCAACTACTCATGCTTATGATGTACTGTGCTCACATTTGTTGCTTAATAGTCAGCAAAAGCAGGGAGCTCACCTACAGTACATCTTCCCAACCTTGTTAGTCATGGGTCAGTACTGCTGTGTTGTGTAACTGTTAACACGAAAAGCATAAACACCACTAATGTTACCATTTCAATAACAAGAGAGAGAATACAGACAAGATAGTGTTCAATAATTTTATTCTTCACTTTGTTCGCAACAAAGGTTATTATAGGATTCCTCAAAAAAAACCCTCAAATTACTGAACAAAGTAAAACACATGGAAGCCTAGTGTTGCATGTTGTTGAGGACCCCTTCCTTAACATTTCCCTATTTGGTGGCAAAGAAGACCCAATGAGCTGTTCTCTGAGCAACATGTTAACATGTGTGCTGTGTGTTCTTTTTTTCCCCACAACTATGATCAGAGACGCCTCATGCAAGCAGGACTGAACACCTGACTGCAGCAGAGGTCTGGTGCTTGAGCCACGCAAGCTAGTAAGCTGGAGCCCTATCGCCTCTTAATACTTAGCGCATCATTTGCCATTTACTGCAAATTAGCATCTGTGTCCAACTTACACTCAACAGAAGTTTCACTGGCATGTCATGCCAAACAACATTTTAAATCAATGGGACTTGATTTAAAACAAAAAAAAAAAACTCTATTAGAAGTTTTTTTTTTTTACTATTTTTTTTGTCGATATCTTGTTGATTATCAAGAATCTATTGTAGTAAAACCTTTTAACTAAAAAGGAGCACAGTATGCCAAAATTATGTTTCAATGAAACAAAGAAAAAAAACATTAATCCTTGGCCATTGAAATTAAAGATGGCAACCTTTGGCAGAAGAAACCACTTGTTTGTTCTGACAGTTATAAACTAAACAAAGCTTATAAATACATTTCATTGGAGTAACACTTGCATCTTTCACAACTTGGCGAGTGACAATTAATTCTAGGCTTCCTGTGACCAAAACTCCAACTGAAAATATGATCAACTCAGAATCAATGACTTGGGTGGGCAGCCTTTCTGAGATGAGCGGGTACAAAGACTCTCAGCTCTAACTGTAGAGCAGACAGGAGATGCTACAAAGCACCGCCGTCTGGTCTGTGAGCCCATCCTCCACGGAGAACACTGGGACTGTGTGGCCACACCGACCTGACATCACACTGCAGGATTCTCCTTCTGTGTGTTGTGTGTCTCTCTTCAACATAAACCTGAGGAGGGATAAGTGCTGAACTCCTTCTTCGTGAGCAACTGGGGGAGTGACGTGGAAAGTGCTCTCCTCAAAAGGTGTCCCCCTGCCACAACAAAGTGGAGGGGGAGGCTGAGGTGTTGTTGGTGCTTTGAAGGGGGCGAGATGGGGGTCTTCTCCACCCTCCATGAAATTTCTCTCCCCAAAGTGGTCTCCACCAGTCCTCTCTTTGGACAGGGGAGGGTGATGCATAGTGCAGAGATGTGACATGACATTCACTCAATGTTTCTGTCAGATAGGGGGAGAAATTAAGATTCAAACAGGAGCTGGGCTTTACTTCCCGCATCCATTCTACAGAATGGCGGACAGTTTGTTTAGCTTGGCCGACACTGCACTTGTCCCTCTGAGCTGTCTTCGTCATCTGAGCCATCTGGGCCAACACCACGCAGGCCTGTGATGCGATAGCCCATGTTGAGCAGCATTACCTCCAGGGGATCAGCGTTCATACGCCGCTGGTTCGCCTGAGCAGCACTGTCCATGTCCTCCACCACTCGCCCGTTCTCAGTCTCTGTCTGTATTATGAGAAAGTAGACGGTAGGAGAAAGGGCGCCATTACATGACAATACATGATAAGAATGCTTTATTTTCATTGAAGTGTTTTCTTAAAATGCACCCTCCGCATTTCAACAACAAAAATGTTGTAATTGGTAAACTAGGCCTGTCCCATGCCAAAGGCTTTGCTAAATGTTACCACCTTTGCAGGAATCTAGGGGACGTCAGTATCCCAGAATCTAACCCACACTGGTCAGATTGTTTAATGGTGCATTCAGGTGTGCATCATTAATTTTTAGAGTCTCGAAATATCACATGACCATGTCATTTTTACCAGATTTTTATCAGGTGGTCATCGGTCACCTGTAAATACATCAAATGAACTGAACAGACATTTTGAGTGACAGTGACTCGGTTCAAAAAACCACAAACAAATATTGTGCTTTCACCGTATGACTAACCAATACAATTTCAAAAGTCTGTGAATCAGCATAATTTTGGGATTATATGTAATTCTGAATTAATTATGCGTGAGACCATGATGCGCACTGTATCCAACTTTTACCAAAATATATATATATTAATACGCAGACGTTTCAGTTGTTTACCTCTGGTCTAGGGTTCCATAATCGCACCACGGGGTCAATACCACTGGTGGCCAGGAAGCAGTAGCTTGGGTGGGGCTGCAGGCAGTTGACTATTGACTCATCCCCCTGCAGGATCCTCACCAGATTAGTTGTCTCCTTTTCCCAGATAAAGAAGGAGCCGTCATCTGAGCCACTGACGATGTACTGGCCTTTGCTGTAGAGACAAGGAATCCATTCAGACCTGCCTGACGAGCCATGTTCTTGGAACTGGAATGTCTTATTTACTAGGAATCATGAAATTGTTCATCATTATACACTGCACTTCATTCACAGAACACTTGTTCACATCACCGTACAGGCATGTAACCAGGGCTTTGGTATACAACGTTCAATGGGAACTGAGCTTTGTGTTACATTATGTGCACTGTATTGTATTCCAGTGGTTCTAGTTATTCAGACCTTCCAGCTGGATAATAGGAAACCAGGTGAGGGGAGGGAAGAGGAGGGAAACAATCTTTTGTTAAGCAACAGGTTTGCTTAGTGTTTCACATAATATGCAGTGGCCTGCTTGAGCTGATCTACATTTTGACTTATAAATTAGTAAATTCCTCATCACAAAGTGTTTTTATCATCATCAAACTAAAGAATTCTATTATTATATTATAGAAAATGACAGTCAAGCACATGACAGAATACAGTTCGACAGACATATTCAGAGTGAAACAAACATTTTACAGTCACATGTTAGACAAAAAAAAGTGGGGACAACTATGACACTTCTTTTATAAATAATCAACTTTTGAACTGGTACTGATATGTGCACTTTATAAAATATTTTCCTGTACTGAAATGTAAGATCTTCATGATTTAACAGTGGATATTTTAAACTTGAAATATTTGACCAGTCACAAAACCACCTACAGTACCTAAAAGGCTACATTTATGAATGAAAGCTACTTTTCACTGTACACTGGTTTTCGCTCTACTGATTCTTCACTGTAGGTTCACAGAGCTCATGACTGTCCCATAGTGAGACCTCAGCAGACTGGAAGTGAGATCTACTGACCTTCCAAAGAAGTTGGCCTCTTTGATATCTGTGGTGGTGTTACAGTGACCACAGTATCTGTGCTTATAGTCAAAGCTGCGCTCTCTCAGCACCAGTTCATCTTCAGGGATGGACTCCTTCCGGCTGAATGAGTGGAATCGAATGGAGCTGTTGGACTTCTTATCTTCAGCTGGTGAAGAAAAAACAACAGAGTCATTCAGATATATTTACAAAAGACACAAAGGCAAATCAGCAAAGATACACTCTTTTCTACCTGATTCTGTCTTGGAGAAGAGAGCTGCCTTGATGTCTTTATCCAAGGCATCACAGGCACTACTGTGTGCCTGCTCTGGAAACTTTCCTTTGAAATCATCCAGACACTCCAGAGCTTCAGCCACATACTTCAACTCAAACAGACACCGTGCCAGCCGGAAATGAGCCTTCAGATGACCAGGGTTTAGAGTCAGAGCCTTCAGACAATCCCTGAGGGCATCATAATGGTCTCCATCCCTGTGAATCACAGGTAATAAAACAATACAAAAAAACTTACTTGTTTTTATAGCCTTTATAAGTAGATGATGAATCACCTCTCTGCAGTGATACGACAACACATAC